GAGCCCCTCCTCAGGAGAAAGATGAGGGTATCTGCACACTGCCAGGTCTATCTCGCACTCAGTGGTTGCTTAGCAGTGCAGCACCTGTCACTGTACCACCAATAATCACATCATGGTTATGTACAACAGAACAAAGTAGTCCCAGGCTAGCACCATCCTCAAAAGGGTTTCATGAATCTTTTGTAGCATCTGCTGTGTTAATGCATCTTGTTTAGGATCTTTCTCTTATTTACTGATCCCCTATTTGACCAGACGTGCTGTCCTTCTCCAGGGACTGGTCCCCCTCCTGATAATAGTTCCACCATCTTGTCATCCTTCCTTTAAGGCCCTTTTTGGCTGTACTTCTTCCAACACAGATTTTTTTGTTGTTCTTCTGGTAGTCCATAGTATGTTCAGTGTCCTTTGTCAGCAACATAACTCCGTAATGAATCAGTTTTCCTCTGGCCTTCCTTATACATTGACTAGCTTTCGTTCGAGTACATACGAGACCACCAGAAATAGCTCAGCTTTTGAATACTTAAGAGAGGTCATTGGTGGAAAATTTGCCCAATGCAGTACATCATTTGATTTATTGACTACTGCTTCCATACGCATTTGTTATGGATCCTAGTAAAATGAAATTCTTGATAATGTTGATCTTATTTCTGTTTATTATTGTCATTTATTGGTACAATTGTGAAGATTTTTTGTTTTCTTTACATTGAGGTGTGATGTAGAATAAAGGCTCTATTCATTGATAGTATCAGTAAATCATAAAGTCCTCTTAGCTTTTAGCCAATATGGATGACACAGTCTTCTTCATATTTTCCAATCTAGGTGATGGCAAATGCTCCTTTCTGCTCTTAGGCTCCAAACTGCATCCAATCAGTTGGTTCTACTACACAAATATATGCAGAATATGGACATTTTGTGCCACTACCCCAGCAGCAGGGACATTAGCAGTCCGTTGGTAGAATTCCTACTTCCTATCTGGTTGTGATACCTTACCACTGCACTTCATGTACAGCCAGCATGTTTGTTAGTGGAGGCATATGTGCTGTTAACATGCAGAAGTTTCAAGGAAATTTGAATGACTGAGACATATACTTCTGAAAATCAGCTCACTAAAACCCTATGCATTACAATAGTCTGGTCCACAGGTGATCAGGGATGGAATCAGGATCCATGTGTCCAGACTTATTCAATGGCAGTAAGGGATAACAGCAACTCTTCTACCACTGGGACCCAAGCACCCACCATTTTTCTCTCAGATCACTTGCAAAATATATGCTTGCATTAACTGGTAGTCTCACCTTAGGTCTCAGGTTTGACCTGTGTCAATCTATGTCACTACTCTACCTAAACCCTCTTTCCAACCTACAGAAAAAGCCTTGCTACAGACCAGGTGAGCCCTGGTGGCACCAGGGTTATGTGTTGGCTGTGATCGTCAAGGGCAGCAGTTGGAAACTACCAGGCACTCCTAGGAAGAAAGATGGGACTTTCTATCCCCATTAACAGTTCCAGTCTTGGAAACTCACAGGGGTAGTCCTACCCTACCCTCCAGGGAAGCTGTGAATCAGGATTGAGGTGCTGGCAGTGCATGAGCTGCTGTAGACAACAAAACCTTATATTCTTGTGTTCTGCCTCATAACCTCCTCACCCTCACCCTTCCTGCTTACTTGATGCTGTTTCTGAGCTCAGTTTACCTATTAGAGTGGTCTACCCTCAGTTATTTTTATCTTTACTCCTTTTTCTCTTTACTCAGATAAGCTGGCCACTGTACTTTATACTGACAACTGGTCCCTACCTCTCCAGCACTCATGATTCCAAGTTCTCCTACCCGAGCCTAGATTTTCTCTTTTTTATACTATCTCTTGCCTTCTAATTGGTGATGCTGTTGGGTAAGCATTGTATTGCTGACCACAAGGCTGGGGTTCAAAGTCACCAGTCATTCTATAAGAGAAATATGGGGCTATCTGCTCTCATCAAGATTTGTCAGCTAGTAAACCACGTACAGGCTTTATATGATTCAGAATCGACCCAATGACTGTGGGTTTTGGAATGTACTATACAATTCCCTAGTATCATTTATGTTTATTGTTAATAGTTTGCCTCCCTATGAGGCAATGGGTTCCAATATATAGATTTTGGGGACTGACCCTTGGTTTGTGGAGAAAAAAAACCCCAAAGAAACAGAGAAGCAAATTTCACAGGGGATTCTTTTTGGTGACATTTTCTGTGTCAGGTGTGTCAACATGAGAATTTGATATTTTTTTTCAGCCTGGCCTGGTAATTGACAAGCCTCGAGTTGATTGACATGCTCTTGCATAATCAGAATTGGTTGAGCTGCAATAGACATAGTAGAATTGCTTGGACTCCAATTCTGCTTGGGCATCATCCTTAAAATTGACCCCAAAGAAAAAAAAAGGCCTATATAAATGGTCGCCCCACAGAGAATTTGGGGGCCCTCTGACCAGGAAGAGCTAGGAAGGGACATTGTCCTTTGGAAATGGACCGTGTGCTGAGACCTTCCAGACTGATTTCAGAGCTGCAACGGTGGCAGAGTCAGATTGAAGAACGAGGCCACTGAGGGGAGACGACCCTATTCGAGAGCTGGACCCCATAGAAAGCAGACCAGTCAGCAACAGCTGTGAGAATTCCCGACTTCATAGGAAAGCTGAGCCGAAGTGGCCCACACAATAGCGACAGCCAGGAGAACCTGCAAAGTAGAAATGGGTAGTCAGCCTGCCCGGAATGCTCTGAGAAGAAAGACCACCGATGGGCTGGGCTTAGTGGAGCAGACGGCACTTAAGCGTACTGAGTGATGTCGGGTTTCCTGTCTGAGTTCGTGAGAGGTGAGAACATTGACTTTCAGCAAAGGTAAAGGGCTCCCTTTGGAACGTATCCATGTCCTTTTGGAAATACTGAAGTTCTATGCTAGGGCCCCTCGAAAGAGTGACACCTCACATTTCTTCGGGTGCATCTTTCCCGGTTTACATTCTTCTTTGTTATTCAAGTTGTTCTGTCAGGTGCAGTGTTTCTGTGAGCTTTGGGGGCATGACAATGGCTTATCCACTCAAAGTTTGCCCTGGGGAAAGGAGCTGACATAAGAAATAAAGGAGAATTTAGAAACTAGAGGGCTGTTTGACCTCTACCTCATAGGCATAAGCATGGTGTTGACGATGATTCTTATTGGAAAGGTTATACTCAAAAGTTAACCTTGAAGTTAATTATAAAGTCATGTCCAGGAACTTTATCCTCTCACTCTCCTAGCAGAATATAAGATCCCCTAGGACAAGAATCTTTTGTCAGTTTTGTTCACCGATGTTTTCAAATGCATGTGTCTGAAAATACCAACGTAGTTGCTGTTGGGTTGGTTCCAACTCATGACAAGCCTCTAGGACAAGGTCGGGCTTCTCCTTAAGGGTTCTGATCGTGTAAGGCAGTACTGGCACAGACAGCCTCTTTTTTCTCCCACAGAATGTCTGGTGGGTTTAAACTGCTAACCTTGCAGTTAGTGGCCGCTTGCTTAACCTCAGTGCAAGGCCAGGACTCCTGTCTGGAAATTGGTTCCATACATGTCTGTTGTTCAGAAACAAATATTTTGGCAGCAATAATGGCTGCTTTTAAAGACAAAGTGAATCAATGAGATTGCATATTGCTATCTAGTGCTAGGACAGGTATACTTTTGATATTATTCGTAGCATGAGTGTTTTACTCTTCAACAACAACAACAACAACAACAACAGTAAATCGAACCCTCCATTGATCCCAACAGTAGATACTGAAGGAAACACAGAGCACAAGATGTGGTTATTGCGATTTAAGAAGCTTATGTTCTAATGAGAGTTATGAGAAGGACACTTCTAAGTCGATCGATGGAGAAGAGATAAAAACCAAAGTAGAACAGTGTCTCAGTATCAGAATAAGAAATGCTATGCTATTGTTTATGGAGTTTCAGCTATAAGCTAACTCTTAATGACAGAATTTGGTGTTCTTAACAATGATATATGCTCTGAGACTGAATATAAATAGAAAGTCAGAGCGTGAGTGAAGATTTCAATTTAGATAACTCTGTGAGACTGTATGCTAAATAAGATCAGATCCTTCTGTGACTTGGATTTTACCCATGATCCACTGCCATCAAGTCAGTTCTGGCTCATGAGGCTTTGCCAAGCGGATGGCAACATTTGTCTCTATGGAATCGCTGGTGGGCTTGAACCACCAACACTAGGGTTAGCAGGCCAATGCTTGCCTGAGAGAGCTACCAGGCCTCCCCGTAACTTGAATAGTACTAATAAAATTAATTAATTTCAGCTATTACATGCAGCATACAAAACAGTTAATGAGGCACTATGAAAGTTTCTTTTTTGTATGTGCTAATACAATGAATTCTTACACAAAATTTTCTAAATCTTATTTTTTAAAGATACAACATACTGAGACTCAGAGAAAGAAACTACCATGTCCAACAGTAAGTGAGGGGCTAAGACATTAGCCATATATGATTTAAAAAAAAAATCTCATTTTAAAAATTATGTCATTTGACCAGCCAATGATATCATATGACCAGTTGACTCATCTCATATGACAATCAATGATATAGATGACATGTTCTCTTAGCATACTGCAACAGTTATTCTCCCTCCCTTAATATAAATTGTATTATATGATCAAAAAAATGAGGGAATTTTCAGTAAGAAGCCATACTTGGCCTATTCTATGTATCTCTGAGACTGTGAGTATAAGGTATGTACAACATGGATATAACATTATTATTATTTTTAAAATTATTTTCTCTGTCTTCTAAAAACTTTTATCATATATCATATTATCATATAATACATATATCATATCAACCAAAATTGTACAATTGCTACCACCGTCAGTTTCTAATCATTATTTTTCATTCTGGACCCCTTGACAATTTCTCCCTCCTCCATCCCCATAATACAGCCCCCCGCCCTGCCCCAACCAAAAAACCCCAAACCCTTATTCTAATTGCTGTCCCTATGGTTTCATCAGTACTGGGTTTCATATACTGAAACACAGAAAAACATATAACACAATGTCAAGACGGTGACCTCCAATGACATCACCTCTCTAATACACCTTAACAGGAACAAACAAACAAACAAACAAACACACAGAAAATGTTGAAAACCAGATCAGGTCCAGCGTGCATCCTGACAAGCTTGTAGCAGTTCAAGTCAGATATCTGCCTTTGACCTTCTGTACTCATCTCTCCAAGGCACTCTGATTGGTAACCCCTTTCCTCCCACCCTTGATTGCGGATAGAGAGAGTTCACTGAAGTAGAAGGAGCTGTCTCAAGATTGTTCAACTGGTGGTAGGCTGACAAACATGGTCTTGCACCCTATATGCTGTATTAAAGTCTGTATTATTCCAGCAAGTCTGTGGCAGACATTCCTTTATTTTGTTTTGTTTGTTCATATTAGGGTATATCTCAGAGATGCTATGTCATTGAGGATCACCCTCTTGAAGTTGTGTTAAATGTTTTTCTGGGTTTTTTTGGTAACTGATACACAGGATTGATGAACCTATTAGGGACAGAAAGTAGAATAAGGGTTTTTGTGGGGAACGGGGGTGGGAGTACAAGGGTGGTCGGGGGGATAAAAAGGGATAATGTCAAGGAGACTGGGAAGAAAAAGTATGTTTGGAAATTGGTTGTGGAAGGAAGTAATTGTACAATATGTATTAACTCCCAATTAATAATTAATAAATAAAAAGATCCAGGAACGGATTTTGGATTTGCACTATATCCTAGCTACAACTTAAGAATAATTAGTTCTTACATCATAGCCCTGCTCAATACTCGTCCTCAGGAAGGGAACACAGAGATATGGGCGCTATAGCAAAATGTGGTGAAGGAATTAGATGGTGCCCAGCTATCAGATAAAATAGCATCTGGGTCTTAAAGACTTGTCTCCAAACAAGCAGCCAGCAAGGTGAGATGTCAATTAAGTCCACACCGAAGAAACACACCATCATTAGTCACCAAAGGATTGTAAATCATATAATCTGAAGTCCAAGGAGGGATTAGTACAGTGGTTCTCAACTGGTGGGTGGTGACCCCTTTGGGGGTCAAATGACCCTTTCACAGGGGTCGCCTAATACATCCTGCATATCAGATATTTACATTACAATTCATAACAGTAGCAGAATTACAGTTATGAAGTAGCAACAAAGATAATTTTATGGTTGGGAGTCACCACAACATCAAGGGTCCCGGCCTTAGGAAGGTTGAGAACCACTGGATTCGTTTCAAAACCTAAATGGTGAGAATCTGGTCTGCAGAAGGCTGTGGATGAGAGTGGGAGCCCAAGATTCATTTATGGGAGCTACGTAGTAACAAGCCTCCAGTGAAATCCCTCTATAACATTATTTTTTTAAGATTTAATTTCCAAACTTTTTGAACACTGTATGTCAGGTATTGTTCTAAGTGTGTTTCAAATAGTAACTCAATTGCCATACTATTAATATTTACATTATATATAGAAACATGATACCCAGAGACTTAGTAACTTGCTCAAGCTTAGTTAGACAAGGAGGAGCAAAGCCAAGATTTCAACGCAGGCCCTTGAGCCTGTTCTGTTACCCAATGTTTCGTGCTCCCGATGCTGCAATGTTTCAGTTGGGATGAACTACTTTTTGGCATAACAAATGGAATTTATTTTCAATTTATACCCTGATGGGCATTGTATCCATCAAAACAAATGGAATACATTTGGTCTTCAACAGGTCAAAGTAGATCTTGTAGCTAGATACAAGGAGCTAGGGAAAACCATTCCTAGTAAATAAACTATCATATTAAATAGTTCATTCGAAGAAACACACCGACTTAGTCAAATAATAGAAAAGGTATGGCTTCTTAAGGAATTCTGGCCAGATCATCAGTTGACACAGACTTTTATTTTATTTATTTGACATTTCATTGTACACTAGAATGGCACAGTAAATTGCAGACTACCTTGGACTTAGTAGATCTCAGAACTGCATGAGAAACCCCTGAGCCACACCCATAATTAGTACAATTTCCTTAGTGGGAATGGACTTAGAGTTGGTGTCACCATCATCTCTCCCCAACACTCCTCCACGCATGACCGATTCCCATTCTATAGAGAATTCTTTTACTCTCGAGTGATTTTAAAGTCACTCGAGAGTTGGGTTGTTAAGCACAAGGTCAGTGCTAACCACAAGGTCAAACCCACCAGTAACTGTGGGAGAAAGATGAGGTTGTCTGCTCTCATAAACTTACACCACCGTGGGAGCCCTGTATAGCATTGCTATGAGTCAGAATCAACTTTATGGCAGTGGATACTTGGTCATAAAGTTGATTGTGATTCACAATGACCCTGTAGTACAGAGTCCTAAGCTGCTCCTTCGGGTTGCTGAGACTATAAATCTTTATGGGGTAAACAGCCTCTTCTTTCTCCCATGGAGTGGCTAGTGCGTCTGAACAGTGGACTTTGTGGTTAATAGTTCATGGCTTAACTTACTGCACTACCAGGAATTCTTAACTCAATTCCCAAGTTACAAAGAATAAACTCAAGGGTTTGCTGTAGGTTTGGCTATAACTGAACACTGATATCAAGATTATGTCATCTAACGTTAGAGACCCAAGACAAACAATCATTCTATTCCATATATAGAATGACTGATGCTAAACTTTTTTTAATTCTTAGAGACCAGAAAGCATATATAGGATGTTGAGAAAGCTATTCACCCTGTCGGGCTGAGTGTCCTTTCCAGAGGCCAGTGGTTGGGCTGTCCGGAACACAGGCTCAGAAACACAATTAAGGTAACTGAAGATGATGGCAAGGAAATCGTTCACAAATTGTACTGAAGGCTCTGGGAATACTGTATTTTCTAGAAAATTAGAGGCAAATGGTTTATTCCTTTCTGAATGTACTAAGGCACATTTGGTCTGTCTTTCCTCAGGGCTGAGACCTCTTATCAAAGAAATCAAGAGTTTGTTCAAGGACATGTTATTAGCTCTGTCAGCCTGTTGGCAAATGATAAGGCCAAAGAAGAGTGAGTTCAATCTTTGCTTAAAAGCGTTCTAATGGCCACATGATGACAATCTCCCCAGGGAATAAACATCCCTTCATTACTTTTTATTGTGCCGCTCTATCTCCTCATTAGTTCTGAACTCAGAGCAAGAAAAACGAGGCAGAATGATCTGCCAGCCAGAAGGGTTTTTCTTTCATGAATTCTTTCTTCATCTTCTTTAAACAGCTTTCTCCCACCCAACCTATATGGCTCCTTATAAAAGAAAATACAAAGATTTCTCCCTCTTACATAAGGTTATTAGAAACAACTGTGACACATCAATTTATACCTGCATAACTTCAAGAGTTATTATACGTACTTATAATGATGTCTAATCTCTCTTAGTAACCTCTTGATGGCAGGTTCCAGTGTCTCTCGTGGCTGTTGAATATAACCAAAGCTGCAACTCACTGCAGCTGCCTGCACAACAGACTGAAACATGCCTGACCCGTGGCATTTTCATGGCATTGGTATGTTTGAGCCCATTGCTTTGGCCACTGGGGATTGTTGGTGCTTTCCTACCTGGGGAGCTCATCTCCCGGTACTAGTCTGTTGTGATCTGGATGGTCTTCATTGGCTAATTTTCAGAGCTAGGTCTCCAGCCTCTTCTCAGTCTTTTTCCCCAGGAAGCTCAGCGGAAACCCGGCGGCCATGACTGACTCTGCTGGCATGTTTGCTTCTGGTGACAGTTTTCGGCATCACAGCAACGCACAGGGAACCACAGCACAACAGACCGATAGGCGATGGAGTCCTTGTTGATGTTGTTGGGTGTCGAATCAGGCCCTGTGGCTTCCTCACAATTGTTGTAATGTTTGAGGCCATTGTTGCAGCCACCGTGTCCAGCTGTCTTGTTGAGGGTCTTTCTCTTTTTCACCGCCCTTCTACTTTACCCAACGTGAGGTCCTTTTTCAGGGACTGGTTTCTCCTGATACCACGTCTCTCCTGATACTAAGTTGAACTGTTGGCTTAGCAGTTAACAGCCTGGCACCTAACGCTACACTGCCAGGAATCCTTGCTGTTGACCTCTTTCAAAAAAACTCGGTGCAGGGCAGCAACGATGAAACATATAACTATCCTCTAATTCTTTAATGCTCCCCCCCCACTATCATGATCCCAATTCTACCTTACAAATCTGGCTAGACCAGAGGATGTACATTAGTACAGACAGCAACTGAAAACACAGGGAATCCAGTATAGATGACTCCTTCAGGACCGGTGGTGAGCGGGGCGAGGCCTGGAGGGTGGAGGGAACGTGGGGTAGAAAGCAGGAACTGATTACAAGAATCTAAGTATTGCCTCTTCCCTGGGGGTGGGACAGCAGAGAAGAGGGCGGGGGGAGACGTCTGACAGTGCAACTTATGACAAAACTATAATAAATTATGAATTATGAAGGGTTCATGAGGGAGGGGGGAGGGGGGGAAGGAGGAAATGAGCAGCTGATATTAAGGGCTAAAATAGAAGGCAAATGTTTTCAGAATGATGAGGGCAACAAATGTACTTATGTGCTTGATACAATGGATGGATGTATGGATTGTGATAAGAATTGTATAAGCCCCCAATAAAATAATTAAAAAAAACCACACAAAAAACCCCTCCTGCAAACCCAACAAAACAAAACCCAAGACTCATTGCCATCGAGTTGATTCCAACTCAAAGCAATGCTTTGGACAGAGTTTCGTTGCCTCTGTAGGTTTCTGAGACTACAATTCTTCACGGGGTTAGAGGGCTTTATTTTGTCTCTGGTGGAGCACTTGGGAGTTTCAAACAGTTGACCTCAGGCTTTGCAGGTCAATCTGTAACCCACTATGCCATCAGAGCTCTCTTTGCAGAACTCTTAGCTAGTGCGAAACATTGCAGGGCCAGAATTAATATTTATTGATTGCCTTGGTTAGTTATACTTCTTTGAATATATCATTCTATATACTTGACAGTGGATAATCACTAAAGTTAAGGCCTTACAGGGGTCCTCAAACTTTTTAAAGAGGGGGCCAGTTCACTGCCCTTCAGACCTGTTGGAGGGCAGGACTATAGTTTAAAAAAAAAACTATGAACAAATTCGTATGCACACTGCACATATCTTGTTTTGAAGTAAAAAACCAAACTGGGCAAAAACACCTCGCGGGCTGGATAAATGTCCTCAGCGGGCTGCATGTAGCCCGTGGGCCATAGTTTGAGGACTCCTGTATAAGATGTATTACAGTGGACAACTTAAATTTAACTTTCCCATATTCTTTAGAAATTGACTAACCTGTTAGATATAATTAAACATAACTATTCACTGTACACTACCTTTGCTATATTTGATGGCATGAGTGGGTATGACTTTGAACTTTAATGAATCATATCCATGCAGCTATACTAAACTTCATTTTATGATAATCATCATATATCTACTTATATTTATTTGTAATTCACATTTTATATGCAAGTGCTTTCTCTAGTCTCAGCCCCTAAAAATATCCTACATGAAAAATCATTATTTTCTAGCCCCATTATAACAGTTTTTAAATGAGTGGTAAGTTCCCCCCCCCCAAAAAAAAAATCAAAGATACATGTACAATGTAGGAAAAAGATCAAATATAAACACTATATATACTTAAAGAATAAATATATATATTAGTTGATGTTCATCAAAGGGCAGCCCTATTGGCAGGTAGATAGATTAAGGGATAAAGGGAGTTGTCTCCACCAAATAACTCCCCTAAAAGAAAATTAGCTGGCCATGTCACAATAAAGGGGTTGCAAAGAATACAGGCACATAGTAGACACCAATGCGAAAATTCAAATCTGAGCATACTTAGACCCAAGTCACCTAGGCCCAGGTGATGGTCGACCTGAGCACACAACACTAGGCATCAGCAATATGATGTCACATGGGTGTGCCTGAACGCAGCCATTACAATAAGTCAACACTCGAAAATCCGCTCCCCAGCCACTGGGGACAGGAGCGGGGCCATAGACTGAGGGCAGGCTCTGCTCACTCTTTCAAATGCTCTCTTGCAGGACAGAGTGCAGGATGTGTGTGTGTGTGTGTGTGTGTGTGTGTGCGCGTGCGTGGGCCCTCTCAGGGACTGCACTCTCACTCTCCCAAGCTTTTCTTCCTTTTTGTCTCAGGCACTCTTTTGCTTCTGTGGACTCCTCTGAGCAGCCATTTTCCACGTGAGTTTTTGTGCTCCCCTGAAGTGGCCATCTTCAGTCACAAAGCCTGGTGCTCTCGCTACACAGCCTTGCACGCTGTCCTGAGATATAGCCTGTACTTTCTGAGACTGTAATCCCTGAAACTTCCCTTTCCTGCATGAAACGTACTTGGATTTACCAAAGTGCTTCTGCCCTGTGAATCCTTTCAGTGTTGAGCAGCAAGAACAGAGGTCAGCCACCCCAGAAACCCAACACTCCTAGTGGGCTAGTATTGTACCTGAGCGTTAGCCAAACAGAAATATTTTAATGACTCTGAAGACCAGGAGGCCTGGGGTGTAGTGGCTCTGATCCTCGGGGTTATACTTGGAAACCCCCAGCAGCTTCTCAGGAGGAGACCCGGCTTCCTCCTCCCATGGACAGTTCCCGTCCCAGAAACCCAGAGGTCACTGTGAGTCAGCATTGCCTTGATGGCAGTGAGTTAAGTTTTTCTGATCCATCATCATAGAGTTAATATTTCAAAAATTTGATTATTTGGACATCTTTGCTAACAAATGTATTTGACTGAATACTTTGAACTGACAAGAAATAATCCCCTTATAAATTCATGTGCTAATTCATTTTTTTGGAGTGAATTTGGATCAGTGTTTTAATGATGACATTTAGATGATGTTTGCTTGCAAAAAACAAGAGACTACCTTTTTTGGGGGGCTTATACAATCAGTCTCATTGATTTCATTTCCATTATTCCAATCACTTTAGCTCACCGTTTTAGGATACCAAGCTTATGTAACTAAAAATTATGCAACTTATGTAACTAAAAAGTCTAAATAGGCTTATGATCCTGTTTGAAAATCACCTGTAGGTTGGCATTTCCTAAATGCATTCTTTAAACACAGTCCAACTGAAGCTCATTGCAATGGAGTAGATTCGGACTCACCGCTATCCCCTACAGGCCAGGGTAGAAAGGCCGCCGAGGCCCAGTGCATAACCCCTCTGCCACCAGGGCTTCTAACACATGTAAACACAATAAAGCTCTTTAAAAGGACTCTGTTTTTTCCCCCCTAAGTTCTGCTCACTTCTGGACTATGAAGATGATCATAAGACTAAAATGTACAGTGATGGGTGAAAGAGTGTTAATAAGATAAAAATAACTCACGGTGGTACATTATGTTGTGGAAGATAAAATCACTTTTATATCCCTTGAGCTCAAAGGTAGAAGATACACTAACATGATTATTTGGTATACTTTCTGTGGAACTGTTATTGGAGCCATGCATTGTTTTCCTGGCTTTCTTTTTGATTTTGATTTTAAATTACATGGTCCTTTAGATTTATTTCCCATTTTTCTCATTTTGCACCTACCAAAATGTGATCAGCATTGAGCACTTTTGAGATTTATAATTAATTTATTTAACCACCAGGTGGAATGTCACTATCACGTGCCACCAAGTGATGCTGTAACAGCGACCATACATGACAGAGTGGAACTGCACCATTCAGGTTTCTACACTGTAACCTTTATGACTGTCATTGCTTCTGGAGCTGCTGGATATATTAACACTGACAACTTGACTCCTGGGGGTCCCAGAACGTCTAGGTAGGATGGAGAAAGATAACAATCACCTATGTATTTTGATTTCAGAACAAAGCGGAAAACTCAACATTGCCATCTTCCGGTGGGTGGCATTCTTCTTCTCCTGCTGCTCCGTTATCCAAACTCCATTCCATTTAGAACGAAGGAATAGAAAACCGTGAGTAGATATTTATCCCCCCAAGAAATACCCTAACATTTGAGGTTGATTATAACATCATTTTATGACTGTGAGGGTCAAGGTCTGTTAGGAAGGACAAAGAAGACTCACAGACACTGCTCTGACAATAGAAAAATGTCCGTAACCACCGGTCTGTGCTGCAGACAAATATCCACTCACTTGGACAGATGTATTTTTGGATGGCCTCCTGGGGTGTGTGTGTTTCCTAAAGATTATGTTTGGTGTATGGTTTTCTCTGTACTATTTTATCCTTTCATCAAATTGATTTACCTACTACTTCATCCAACTTGAAATTTTGTCTATAACGATACAAATTGAAGAGAACATTTACTTACCTAGTGTGTCTGTTGCTTTGATTGAAGTCTGATTCTCAGCTTTAGGAAAAAGAAAACAAACAAAAACAATGTTGAAACGATATCAGATATGGTTTTACAATTGATTCTGTGATTTGAAGATGTGGATCTTAGCCATTTCTGATTCATTTTCCGACGAAACCTAAATTCATGCCGCTTTAAGATTTAAGGAGACAAACTGAAAGGGTAGTATAACCAGGCCCAAACCCACTGCTTTTGAGTCTATCTCCACTCATCCTGATCCAGTAGGACCAAGGAAAACTGCTTCATCGGGTTTCTATGGCGATAGATCTTTAGAGAAACTGGCAGACATCTTTCTCCTGCAGAGCAGCTAGTGGTTTTTGATCAGCTGACTTTTTGTTTAGCAACCACTGTGCTACCATGGTTACTGAAGGATTGTCAGCTAAGTAGTAAATGTTTTAGACATTGTGGTCTGAGGCATAAGGCCTGAGGCAGCTACTCCATGTTGCCATTTTCGTGTGAAAAGTAGTCACGGAAAACAAGAAGGCATGGGTATTCATATGTCTGTGTCCAAATAAAAGTTCATTACCACACAGGAAATAGGCTACAGCTTACCATCTTCAACATCTACCCAAGCTTATATCAGGAAATCCTCAAGCTAACAGGAGGACAACAGACCCAGCACGGAGGGGGCTTCCGTAGCCTACCGTTCCATGGAAACATGATGCAGCTCTGTCCTGATGAAGTTGCCTGATTTAGACAAATTCTCCTTACACTTAGGAAATTCCTATAAAATATACATAACCCAAGAGAGCTTTCTGTACGGAAAATCAATTCAGAGAATTATAATCAAGGAAACGTTGAGTAAGATGATAATGATTTACCATAAGAAAAAAATCTCAAAAATAATTCTGAAGTAAAAAGAAACTCAATTATAAATGAGAAAACAAAAGCAGAGAAAAACAATTCCCTTTCTTGGAATCTCCACTTGGCTGTCTCAAATTAAACATGTCCAAAGCAGGACTCTTGATTGGTATTCTCAAATCTGTCACTTCTCCAACCTTCTTAGATCAGTTTATGGTGTCATCAATGTAGTCAGTGCTATTACTTAATTTTCCCCTTTGTTCTCACCCAACAGACTTTGTTTCAAAGGAGCCCTGGTAAAGAAAGTGGTTTACAAGTTGGGTTACTGACCACAATGTCAGCTGTTCAGAATTGTCACCTGCTCTGAGGAAGAGAGCTTTCTGCTCCTGTAAAGGGCGACAGTCTTAGAAAACCACAGGGGCAGCTCGACTCTGTCCTATAGGGATGGTGTAAGTCGGAATTTACTTCATGGCAGTGAGAGTGGATGAAGGGAACAACTTCCTAAATACTCCCTGGTGGTACTATTGGATAAGAGTTGGACTGTCAACCGCAAGGCCAGCCACTCAAACCACCAGTAACCTGGTGGGAGAAGGATGAGACTATCTGCCCTGTACACTGTCAACTATGCCAAAATGTAACTCTACAGGGGCAGGGTTTCTACCGAGAACAAGTAGGTTTCCAGTTAAAATATAAGAAATGAACAAGAATAGAAAAACAAAAACAAACCAAACCAAAGATGATTTCTACCTATGTGGATTAAATTGTTAAGGAAACATGAACACAGGATTTAACATTTTTGGTTGAAGAGTGATAGGTATCACTTTTAACATCACTTAATGCTCAAACCTATATAGCATTTATTAATAAAATATTAAAATATTATTGTATGATATAAAGTGTATATTATTTATTATCATTATACATATATGCAATTATGAATTAAAAGAGTGAAATTACTTTAATAAAATAATGAAATAGGATTCCAAGGAGGTTATCCCCCAAAATACTGGTAATTTTCTTCTCAAAACTATGTATTTACATATTAAGTTAGATAAAACAACAATATCACATTCAAAGTACTCTCCATTACACTTAATACATTTGTCAAATCTGTGATTCCATTCTTGGAAAGATTTTTTTAAAACTCATCTGTTTGGATGGCTGACAGCACCTCTGTTTTCGTTTTTTTTCTTCACTTCTTCTATGTTATCAAATCGCTATCCTTTCATATCCTTCATTCATGGAAGCAAAAATAAGTTTCAAGGAGCACCATCAGGTGAGTAAGGTGTGTGGGGCAAGAGAAGCATGCTGTGCTTTTGTCCAAAACTGTCACACTGAGATGACTGCATGAGCAGATGCATTGTCATGATGGCAAAAGCAGTCCCCTGTCTGCCACAAATCAGGCCTTTTTGTTACACACTGTTATACAATCTTTTCAGAACCTCTAAATAAAAAGCTTGATTAATAGTCTGATCTGGTGGAATGAATTCCAAATACATTACACATTGACATTTTCGCTGGTTTGGAAGTTGATGGCTGTCCAGAATGAGGTTTGTCAACACTGACATCTCACCTTTTTTGAAATGAGAAAACCACTCATACACTTGATTTTTTTCCCATAGCGCTGTCCTTGTAAGCTGTATTCCACATTACAACAGTTTCTGTGGCATTTTTCCTGAGCAGAAAATAAAATTTCACAGCTGCGTGCTGTTCTTTTAAATCAACCATCACAAAAAAACGAGGTTCAAGGGAAACTGCTTTTATGAAAACATTCACTGTGACTAGAGAGAACCTTCCAAGGCAACGCCACTGATGCACTAACTCAATCAAGTTGCTTGATGCTCACGTAGCAGGTAAAATTCATACTACTAAAGCTCTGCTCTGCCCAGTGCAATTCTGTTTTGTTTTTGTTGTTTTTTTTTGTTTTTGGGGGGGGGTACCACCTTGTATAATTTAGGTCTGTTGGATTCAAGTCCATCTTCTTTTATTAAAATAGGTGAGTTTTCCTTCTAGTAAATTGCCAGGAATGGAAAGCACATGCAATTGAACATGCTACCATTGTAGAGGCGTCCTGGCACTGAGTTAAACTCACCAGCCTCTCTGAGGCATAGAGATGAGGCTCCTGTAAACATTTACAGCACTGGGAATGCTCCCATAAAGATTATAGCACTGGGAATGCTCTACAGGATTATCATGGATCAAAATTGCCTCGATGACATGGGCTTATTGATTACTAGCTAAAATAATTTAAACAGCACATAAAGTTTATGCAGAAAATTAAGTTAAAATACCAGCTGATAACAGATTAAAATACAAAGGGGGAAAACACCCACCCCTCCTTTTATTATTAGATCAGAACATTTCTTGTTGACATACTTGATAGGAGAAAAATAATAATTAAACAAACATTCTATCTTTTATTTCAATGATTTTTTTTCAGCCTTTGAAATGCATATGAATTTTAGCATTACATAAAATATAAAAGACAAATAATTCCACCTTAAGGGTTAAGTTACAATAATTCAAAAATTCTTGTGATGATTGTCCAATAAAGTTCAGATTTTCAATATATAAATGAATATATTGTAATTCTGGTAACAAAATTCAGAAATATCAATTATTTAATCATGAGTGGAATATATATACATACATATTTGAAGCTATATTACCAGAATGCACTACATTCATTTTATTATATACCGGTTTATTATTTCCTCTCCTTCTATAAAGGTCACAGATTATTTGTTCTCAATACATGTGCCTCATACATGTGGTCATTTAAAACTTTGAATAACTACAAATGTCTACACTTTGCATTGCTTTCCATAACTTTAGCTATAATCCATACAATAGTCTCTATTAAACTATTGTACCTACAGAGCTCAATCCAATTTGGAAAGTGACGCACCATAGAAAATGATTTTATTTCAAAATAAAAACATCTTCCCAATTGTAGGGCAAAAGCAACATTTACATAAATATATATATTCCAACTCAAACCAAACTCATGACCATTGAGTAGAAGCCGACACATAGCAACCCTACGAGACATGCTTGAACTGCCTCTGTGTGTTTCAGAGCTTGTAACTACTGCAGGAGTAGAAAGACTGTCTTCCCCCAGAACGGACAGTGGTTTTAAATCACTGGCCTCTACTCAGCAGCCTAACTCAAAACTACTACTATATATGTATGCATAGTATTAATAAAGACCAAAACCTTCGACAGGGTGATTGAAAACTTAGTGTCTTTTGAGTTTCAGTCTGTAATATGAAATTAAAGTCTTATGAAATGCAAATGAACTTAAAAATGCCGGGCACGTTAATCTAAAGTTAAATAGCGCTCCAACATACTGCTTTCAAACAGACAACTTAAAACAGAAATAAGTAAGAACTTTGTTAAGTAATCACATTTTGTTTCAAGGTAACAAAAGACACTTACAGAGAGAATATGAACAATTCAGATTCAGGAGTAAGTATACAGCCACTCCCATATATAATTAACAATTTACTTGATATGAATTTATTATGACCAGTTTTAGCTTCCCTTCTTGTTCCCCTATACATGATGTTGATTGAGTGGTTGTAGATGACAGAATTTCTGGTTTGACTAATCCATGACTTGTGAATAAACCTTATAGCCTGAGGGTTTCTCTCCCTTCTTACCATAAGGAATGAGACCAATTAATTCAATCGTATACAAGAGAAGTCAGGATTCATTTCCTACTTAAATAACACTAATAAGTGATGCATTAATAAGAATAAACAATGAGCCTGGAAACAAATAAATCAATGCTTTCCAAAGCTCAACTGCGGACCTTCAGGTTAACAGTTGAGCTCATAGGACTGCATTACAATAGCTATAGGGATAGTGGAGAGGGACATGAAATAAGATGTAATAACTAAATAAGTTATTACAAATAAGATGTAATAACTAAATAATAAGAGCTATTTCTTTTCAACTTTCAGTTGATTTTATTATTTCAAAGTGGAAACTTAAACATTTCAATTTGATGTAAATACGCCATTAATATCTCATAATTTCTAGTCTTGGTTTAGAAAACAAAACAAGAAGTCTATGGTAAATTACCTAGAATTTCATTTTTTCATTATCATGATTTTTTAATTGAAAGATGATTTTATTTTGGGCTCTTGCAACTCATAACAATCCATATATCAATTGTATCAAGCACATTTGTG